CTAAAGGCCAATCACCAAATTTGGTGACATAATGGTAACTATTGTCACTCTTTTTTGTAGTGCCACTTGCACCACCAGTGTAACAGAGATCATTCAAAACAATCTAAAAAAAATACTAAATTGCACCCAGTAACTTATGTACCTGCATTTTAATCAATTTCTTCTGCTCAACCTGGGAAGATAATGTAATAATATCATATCCTGCACACCACCATACATATCTTCATCATCAACAAGAATATATATACAAAACCAAAAAATAATGACCTAATTGATTCGAAGATTTATAAGAACCTGAGGCTGGTCCATTGGCATGCCCTTGTTTCCTCAAAAGAGCCTTCGGGATACTTTCATGGCTGAATGTTTCAGCGTTTATTTGTTGTGCTTGGTATTCAACTGAGATGGTAGGCATCATCGATGACTTCGAAGTCTCACTTAAGACTTTCGCTACATCCTGCACCAACCCTAAAATAATTAGGCCACTTCAATAAATTAAAACTAATAATCACTTAAGTTATTAGATTTCTTTCATATGTTTCGCACTTTGTATGTGTCTATCTTTGTCAGCACGTGATAGGGTCATGTGATGAGACACATGGTTTGCTTGCAATCAGTGATGGGGAACAATTAAGTACTCCAGATTATCGCATGCAGTTCTAACAATTCAACAAGATACTATGATGACCAATTTTTTTTGGTTAAATAACAATAAATAAGGCATGTATATATGCACCACATGATGGAATTATAACTCCATGGCAGAACTTCTGAAAATATTATGTACAAGAATTTAATCAGATGTTGAAATATTTGCACCCACCTCAACAGAATGGAAGGATTTACTGCCACTTTGCTTATCAACAAGGCCTAGAAGTCGGGCATTGCATGCATGGATAGAAAGACAAAGAAAAAGGAGAAGAACAATGGAAGACATATTATGAGAGAGACAAAAGAAATTGGAGATTAAGATCTGAAGGATTTGAAGACTTGAAATCACACACAGACGATGAGAATATGTAATGGAAATAACTGAAAGTCTTGTAAATGTGAGTGGGTTAAGTGTTAGGTTTTGCAGAGTATTTGTAGTGTGAGGGGAAGGAAGAGCAATAAATGCAGGTTGTGTATGGGACTATAACCGTTCTTAAAGAGAACATGCAGGTGTTTGGGTGATGAACCTGTAAAACCAAACTTGAGATATTGGGGCCTCCCCTTGTCCCCTTTTCCCTTCATCTCTCATTTTTTAATCAATTGGAGGGCCCTAAGAAGCTGAAAACCATTATATGAGCTACGTATCCAGTAGACATAATGCATGGGAATAGATATTGAGAGAGGGAGGAAAGAGAGTTAACTCCAAAATTAACGTAAATACGGCGTACCACTCTTATGGATCATATTATAAAGTACATTTCTGATAAATGTGAGATCCACTTGTATATGTGAATTTTACTCTTATTGGAGAAGTATTCATGAAGTATTTTCATCATATGTAAATATGATACATGTAGCATCACCAGATAATTTATAAGAATTTATTGGCGAGATGAAGATTTGAGTAAATTTGGTCTCCAACCCATGTATTTCTAAAGGATCCCCCATTCCATGTTTTTGTGTGAGAAAGTATTATTACATTATGGCTTTTTACTTTTCACTTTAGCTAACATATCTTTATTCTAGTGATTTTAAGATATCCGATTTCAGTCAATTTTAATTGTATAAAAAAATATTTGAATTCGAATATAGAAAGATGAGTACATTGTGTTATCCAACTGACCTAATTCACGTATGCGCTATTAATCACGCAGATAAAACACAAGTTATTGTAACTAGTTCTTAAGTTAAATGAGTGAAAATGGCTTGGGTAAGAGATTGTATGAAGTTGTAAATGAAGTTTGGAAGAAATTGAAAGGACCCATAAGTGTCCAAGAGTGTAGTGGGAGGTAGGGACATGGGATGAGGAGACAAAGGAGCATGGCCAAACCGTCAGATGCAGCTCCTTTGTGGACATGGAAAGGTCCACCATTCCCCACCAGCGTCCGTATTTAGTATGCACTCTACGTGGCATGTACTCCATGTGCCTCACACTTGCTTTTCCCGCCACATCACCCCGCCTTGGCCAAGTAGTTTGGATTGTTTTGTTTCTTCGGTTTAACAGCTATTTGGACCTAGGCCATTTTAAAACCTATGGGTCAGCCTACCATGAACATGTACGAGCCCAATTCATTCATGTTTCTCACAACGTAATTTGTAACTCATACCGTCAACGGTTAATAATTACTCACGTGTCGTTGAATTACTAACCTTATCATTCGTTAACAATTGCTCATGTGACATTCGATTACTTGTTCTAGAACTCTTTGTGTGTTGCGCTTGGCTCATATCATGCATGTTTGTACCATATTCGATTGGCCTCTCAAACCATGACACGTGGAAAGAACCTGACACCAAATAGGGTCCAGAAGCCCACGCTAGCCAACCCAACCTTATGAGCGGTGGGTGCCCTTGACACCCACTACCGATTCTACACTAGCCGACCCAATCTCGCATACTCACAATCGATAGTCAATAGGTGCACTCGTCACCCCCTGCCGATTCAGCCTCCCAGAATGTATCTTGCAGGAATCTATTGGGTTCTTTATTGGTATACACTATACTATCCCTACACTATAGGACATGTGGCAACCCCCCAGGCTATTCTCATGAGTTGCACATCGAATGTTTACTCCAAGAGGACACCCAAAACCTCTATCAATAAAGCTCCTTGCCCCCAGGGTACAAGGTAATAGTTACTTGACACTTATGCCATTACCTTGTCAATAACTAACTCATCTCTCATTCAACTAACTTTAGCATCGGAGGGCCTTCGGTCAGTATCACACTAGTGCTTTAGGTCTCACTCCTTGTTCTTCCCTTTCTCTCCTTGCAGATAACCTTTAGTGTAAGACCCGTGTCTTGGGGAATCAAGAACGGTGAGCAATCCCACATCGCTCGGGGAGGGAAAGGTGAAGTGCTTAAATGTGTGGGCACTTCTCTTCCTAGCACGAGGTCTTTTGGGAGTTCACTGGCTTCGGAGTCATGGGAACTCCGAAGTGAAGCGAGTTGGGGGCTAGAGCAATCCCAGGATGGGTGACCCACTGGGAAGTTGCTCGTGAGTTCCCAGAAACAAAACCGTGAGGGCAGAGAGGGGGGCCCAAAGCGGACAATATCGTGCTAGGAGAGTCGGGTCGTGACATTCAGCCTACTGAAGGGAAGCTCTTACTGAAGGCAGATCACACCACATCATATCTTTAAGTTTGAGCCCACTTCTGGTCATTAAGTTTTGAGCACAAACAAGTCACAACCCATTTGACAAAGTTATTTCTCAAAGAAAAATCGATCTACACAAGCAAAATGATAAAGTTTGGCTCTTTAAAACTAAGGAGGAGCTCATCATAAAAGGACCTTCTAGTGTAGTGGTTTGGAGCAAATGCTCCCCCCCAGAAAGGTCATGGGTTCGAGTCCTAGTATCCTTGTAGTCACCCCTCTCAATAGGAAATATCCTTAAAATAAATAAATAATAAATAAAAAAGGAGCTCCTCCTGAGATTTTGACACTTCTCAAATTCCAAAACAAAGAAAGTTAAAAGAATTTCAAAATTAAATAAATTAAATAAAATTGACCAGTGTCAGAATCCTATTTGTTTTGAGAAGGTGTTTCTCCTCAATTTAAGGAGTCGAGCTTTTTCTTTTGACAAGTATATTAAGCTATCAAAGTTTTTCCCTCGTCTCATAACAAATTTAGCTTGTTTCAAGAGTTTAATGAACAATTAAGAAAGTATGTTTAGGAAAGTACAATTTCATACCTACAAGTCAACTCCAAGTTTAACTAGTAGAAGCTCAAGTCCAACAAACAATTAATAAATTGTGTCTAGAAAAAGAAAAACATATAATATCTACAAGTTATCTGCTATTAGAGCACTTCCACCGCTGAGGGGGAGCCCTGACAAGAAGGGGCCCAAGCAACCAAAGGCAGCTCCAACCTGAGCGAACAGTGGGCCCCAGCAACTTGGGCAAGCCCACGAACAAGTTCAGCTCGAGCTGCTGTCTGGGCAAAATGACACAATGTTGATGTCATAATAATGTTAGCAACCAAAAAAAAATTAAAATTTTATTTAAAAAATACCAAAATTTTCAGAATTTTTTTTATTTATATAAATACCTAATCATATTCTTTACTTCCCACACCAAAAACTCTATACAAATTCATCTTCTCATATCCCATGTGAATAATAATTGCCCTTACCCTAGCCCATAAAGGTGGAAACAAAATTGCAAGTGCTGCCACTATTCACATGAATAGTGACAGCCCTTACCCATAGGGGTGGAAGTGCTCTTAGCATAGCGTATAGACCTATAGAAGGATAAAATCTCTCAGCCAACCAAAGCTTCATCAGATTAACAACAGAAGTTGCGTACAAGGCTTGGGTTTGGTCAATCTCCCATGACAGATAGACCCAAAGAAATTTAATCCGGCCCATGGCCTAAGCCCACAAATACACAGCTCAATCTCTCCCATTGACTTTTGCACCCTTTTTAAATAATCAGTGTCTTCATCCATGCGCTTTGAGCTTTGAGAGGGAGAGAGAGACAGAAAGAGATAGAGCTTTAAATGTACGCGCTGAAATGGGGGAAAATCACTGTTTTCCTCTTTTTTTCTATTTCTTTTTCATGGCCGTCTAGACAATTCTTCCTAGCAATGAACAGGCAGTGAGTGCCGGTGAAGGCACCCGAAAATATGCAGAGATTGCTGTTCTAGGCAGCAAACGTTGTCATAATAAGGCACATGAGTACGCATTGTGGCATGTCAAAAGATGCAACAAGAAGAAAGGTTTGCATTAAACTTTGGTCAAAGTCACAGCTTCACATAACCATGACCCAGCCAAAACTGGCAATAAACCGGTAGCTTCATTGAATGATTATGAATAGCAACAAGCAAGAAACTTTAATGTTAAACCGGAGCTTAGAAGTTATATACAATATGTGACTATACACATCATCACCAGAGGTGTTTATGAACTAGGCATAATAAAGGAAGCATCGGATTCAGAACAAGGTAATGGAGATGATAGCGATAAAATCAGGTATGCTGGGACTGGAAGAAAGATGGCGGGTATCCAACTAATCGAGGACTACAGCGGAACCTGATAACCAAATGTGTTCTCACCGCTGTAAGTGACGTAGAGAAACCCGTCTTCATCCTTCTTCTCTTCATATATGGCAGACATGATTGCACCTGCAAAAGACAGAAGACATTATAGATGGGACATGTTCAATCAAAAGGCCAAGCAGAAGGCACCATCCTCTAAAAGACAATTTCACAAGAATTTACCCGTTGGTGGGAGTACATTGTCCACAAATATAAAGATAGCCTTCTCTGCACTCAACTTAATCCTTTTGCGGATAACATAAACGAATTGTCCAACAGTTAGGTCAGCCGGGACAAGGTACCTGTAATTTTCAGATTCCGTTTAAAGTTAAAGAAACAGTTAAAAAGCAACGGATGTTGTTGAAATATCATAGAGGCAATCAAACATAACCAAATTTTCGCCATTTTACCAATAGCTAAACATAACAAATAAAGAACATCCAACTTAAGCCTTTGGAAGAATTAGATGAGAAAAGAGAGGGTCGGTTAAACTTTGGTCCTAAATTGGAAAGATGTAAACTTTCTAAGAAAAACAAGAAAAATGGAATCAACAAGCAGCAATGTTATATATCAGGGATCAAGAGAGAAAGTAAAGCTTACTTTTTCTTATCAATGTTTGGGATATCACTTCTTTCTGCCTTCTCCACAATCACCTTCAAATCATAAAATCAAGATTTTACACAACATGGATAAGAAAGCCAAAATCAGGATGCATTTTACTTAGTTATAGGAAGTAGAACTCCAAAAAAGAATGCATCCTTGTGGAAACTATTAACACGTCTGAAATCAACTTCTCTATTAGCTGATACAATCTCATTCCAACAGACAAGCATGATAATTTACGCAAATTTAGTGCCAGATACAAATAATACAGAACCATTCAAATAATTTACTACATAAAAATTATGTGCAAGTATTTCACATCATGGGCAGTAATTGAAAATGGATAACTGAGTTTGGATTTCAAATTCTTACTGGAATTCTATCTGGGTATTTCTCTCTGATCCTAGCAGCCTCTGCCCGTCTCTTCTCTGAAAATAATACAAACCATAAACATCAAAATTCTTTGACTAACGTTCTTTTATTAAATAAACTCGACAAGGTAATAAAAACAAGTCTTTGGGATGAAAAATACTACATACCAAGATCATGTTCTTGCTTGAAGTAACTCTTTGCCATTCTACCTGAAATTAGCATACAACATAAGCAAAAAGTAAAAACCAAAAGCAATTCAGTTCAATTACACAAGTTAAAAGTAAACAACATCTTCTTTATCTCTTAATTAACACCCTTGATTACATGGATTATAAAATATTGAAATTAAAAAGAAAAACACAAAAAATATTACTCAAAATCAAACCCCCATGAAATTCACCATCCAAAAATCAGATTTTCACACACAGAAAGACAATCAGAAGTCAATTCTAACATCAAAAGACAACTGGGTTATTATCAACAGATTATATTAACAGGGTACAAAAATGAAAGGGAGTTAATACGAAATAGCAGATGAAAATCGAACCTCGTGAAGTCTGAAGAGGAACCCAGAAAGCAAAAAGAGAGCTTCTTGATCAGAAAGTCCACGAAATCCCGTGAGGTTGGTTTGGTTTTGTTGGTCGACGATGATAATACAGTGGTGGCTTTGCTTTGGGTTTTTCCTATTTATATATTAATTATATTATATAATTTATGATATTTATCCATTAATTTAATAATTTCTATAATTTCTAAAACGAATTGGATGTTTTATAAAAAGAAGGTTTCTTTTTAGGTCTATCCGTCCGCTCATAATTAATGCATACGTGGCCGAAGTTTATGATTGAGCCCCAAACAAACAGGCCCCACCTAGAAGGTATGCTTCATTGCTCACAGCTCACTCTGATTGGTTGGGAAACCGTGTTGGAGATAGTTACCGAAGAAAAATGAAACAAGCTTTGCTGATGGGTCCTCCGCTACCTTAATCTGGACCGTCAGATTATATGATTGTTTTCTCGATGGAAACTAACGGTTGATCAGATGGATCCTGCACCGCTGTTAATATTATGCGAAGGATGGTATCATAACAACATAGAATATGCCTCTACGATTCCTCTTTATCAAACTGCTTAGCAAAGAAGTGCATACTAATTCCACTTCTTGTTAAAAAAATCTCTGGTTTAAATTGCTAATGATCGGATATACTTATTTAACAAACATAACGAAATCTTATTTTTTTAGCTGTAAAATATTTAATTTAACTCTTTTTTTTCTTCTGGATTGTTCATGAAAAAATTGGTTAATTTCTTTCAATTTTATCTAACAAACTGTTTTTGTTAAGTAGATAATTTTTTTTATATGAGATGATCCTTGAATAATGACCGACGCATTTAAAACGTCAACACAAGTAAAAGCTCTTTTAAAAGTTACTTTTATTTGCACTCAACACAAGTATCTTTTCCCACTTAGCAAATTTTAGAGTTTCGAATTTACCCCTTAAGAATAAAAAAAATATTTGAAAAAATTGATGGGTCCTTGAGTTTTTCTTGATTTTGTTATTGAAAACACTTAAGCCCAAATTCAACTTTCTTTGGGCCTTTGGGCTGCCCAGATGAAACATTTCTCATATTTCAAGCTTGAATTTGAAATATTTTGTAAGGTATTTTGGCCTTATGGGATTTCTAAGTCCTATATGGCCCCAAATCTCATCTCCAAGTAATCCACCGATTCTTTGGAGAGAGGCAGAGCCATGCTTGACTTAAGATATCAATTCAATTGGTTTTTTTTCAGGTCAAACACCTTGCTCAACACTTCATTGCATTGATCGGCCTGCAACAAGGTCAAATGCAGACATCAAGCTCTCTATTATCATCATGAATCATGACATATATAATATATACTTGACTAAATATAGCACGAAAAAATTATAAATTATTGAAGATTGCATAATTCTTTTGGCTCGTGTGCCAGATTGTTCATGTTTTTCGTGAAACTAATCAAGTAGTAGATAGAAGTGCTCGTTATACTTTATCTTAATTAGACTCATTTTGTTGATATGGGGATCCTCCCGATATCATTCAAGATGTTCTGTTAAGTGACTTTAAGTAATTATGATTTTGCTTCAATAAAATTCATCGCTTTCTTTCAAAAACAAAAAAACAACCTTACAACTTTCAAAATCAAAACCAAACATCAATTATATTCAAAATATTATATACTATTTAAAGAAGTGGCTCATAATAATATAATATGATATTTTTTTTCCTAGATGACCAAATCATAATCTGGAAACTTTTGTTTCAGTGAGAGGGACTTGAATTGAAACAAGATAAATTTCTTTTTCAGAGGGAAACACATGGTCTTTCCTAGATGACCAAATCATCATCTGGAAACTTTTGTTTCAGTGAGAGGGACTTGAATTGAAACAAGATAAATTTCTTTTTCAGAGGGAAACACATGGTCTTTGCACTTCTTTTGATAGCTTGCAGCCTCCATTTAGCTTAGCCAAAACAATGAAAGAGGAGGAGATAGAGGCAAAATGGACCCTAAGCAAACAAGAAAATCAAGCCAAAAGCAAACCTTGTCTGCTAGCTTAACCACTTTACAATTCTATATGCAAATGAATTAGATTGCAATGACTTGTGATTATTTGCTTTTTAATCATGGCCACCAGACAAACACCTAACCTTAATGACTTATCATTCAATAAAGTGTACAAAAAGACAGTAATATATGACCTATGTATAGCTAATAACCTTAATTTTCTAAACATTGGGACTTGTCCACACCCAATTTTGTAATTGAAAATTTTTTCAGCTTTGAGTTGCATGGAAGAAGTTTTTATAACTTGCAATTAAAGTCGTAAAGTTTTACATCTTCAAAAAGCTAAATAAAGTCATCTACATCGCAAATAAAAGCTCTTGGCTTTACAATTGAAAAGATTAGAGTATCTCCAACAGTAGTGACTTAATAAGGGTTGCCGAGTCTGTTAGAGATTCTCTAATTATTGAGTAACACGTAAGGGTGATTATAAAGTAGAGAGGGATATAGGATTGAACAAAAGATATGAACTACTGCCGTGGTTATACATCATCATTCATGGAGGTTAATTTGGATGGTTTAATTAATGCAAATTGCTCTTTGAGCTAGCACCTTACCAGAACATGTTCTCTGAGAAAATACATGGGCTCTTAAAACCAAACCCAAGTAAGCATTGGAACTTTGGGCTTGTGTAACGTTTGAAGTTTCCTCTTTTTTTTTTAAATACGATTTAGTGGTATAATCTGTTCACGTGTTATAATATGAGTGGACAACATAATAACTGTTTCTCACTTTTTGAAGTATAATATTAATAAATTCCCTATATAGCACGTAAACAAATTACACCGCGTCATCATACTCTTGTATCAAACTATAGTGTATTGAATTATAATAATTATATATGGCCTGTTCCGCCTTAAAGTCACGTAATTTTTTTTCATGGGGTTGGACTTTTTTAAGTACGGACAATAATTCTTAAGAGTCAAAGTGAATAGGAAAAGTACAAGAGTAATGGCCTTCAAAAATAATGACCCTGTTTATAGGCTTGTTAGCAATACCTTACTTTCAAGTCATCAAATCATAGCCAGGAGCTGTCATTGCCTGAGCAGCCCACGTTCGCAACAATAAGTTTATTGAATTTTTGGTACTGAAGGGTACTGAGTTATTATATATGTTTGTGTAATTTCATCGCTTTTTAATTTCTTAATCCCTTAAATGCTTCTGTTTGGTGAGTAGGAGAATCGTGATAATATTAATTTCCTCAAGTTTTAGGTTGCTCAACTTGCCTTGAGGGTAGAGGAAAGAACATGGCTAATGGCACCCACCACCATTCTCGATTGTACTTGAATATAGAGAGAAGCTCTTCATAATTAAGGCCGTCAAATAAAACGATAAGTTATTTTATCGCTCGTTCATCACATGAGTAACACATAATAAAGGCTATATACACAACCATTTATATAATTTTCTTTGGGTAATATACACCTATCAATTTAGATGGTTCGATTGACTCCAAAACTTTGGGCGGGCCACGAGGATTAGCTAGTCAAACTACAACTCCTACTTTAATTCACCATGTTTCTTTCATTTTCTTTCACAAACGATATCACATGTCCTTTTAGCAAATTCAAATCTAACGTACCCTAAACTCAGATGGATGGGGCATAGTGACTCAGCGAGGGACCTGATGAGTTGCTGCTAATGGCTTTCAAGACAAACAAATTGTATACACAGTTAAGGAAAAAAATAATTTATTTAAAAATATACAGAAAAAAGAAAGAAAAGAAAACACTGGTGGGGCAAAGAGGGATTTAGTTGTGTCACTTTCCACTTGATAAAATGGAAGGTTTTTGGCTTAGGGATCACATGGGGCTGTATATAAACCAAGCCCCCATATCCTGACATGTCCAAATCATGGTTTTCATGCTAGACCAAAGCATGTCCCCTCTCATCCCTTCCAATCCACACAAATACCCAAAAAAATTATTTTATTTTTTCTGTAATGCACATAGACAAAGGCTGTTCAAGTCTTGGAGCCGAGCAATCCCCATGAACCCCTCTCGTCTCATGGATTCTATTATTGTTTTGAGAGAATGAAAGCATTCGAAGGACAGAGACTTGCTTGTATTGTATCAAAGACAAAGTACAGTCAAACTAAGGTTTGTGTTTGTGTTTGAAAGTTCATTTTCAGAAGTTCAATTGGAAAACAGGTAACAGTTTGATGGGCTAGTGAGGGTTTCATTTTTCTTTTTCTACAAACGATAATGGGGGAAAGTGGGAATCGAATCTAGGACCTCATGCTCGATGGGGTTGCATTTCAGTTTTGTATTGACAAAGCTGTTTGAATCCAATAATGCATGCCCGACCAGGACCTATAAATTAGTTTTCTCCTTCCAAATATGACAACTTGTGACTTTGGTTTTTTATCAGTACAATCACCAGTACAATCAGTATAAGCCTCCTCGTGCATATGTACATTGTACATTGGTCACTTTCGAGAAATACACTCACGATAACTTTGTGGATGTAATCGCATTGCATCGATCTACATATATGTTTATATTCCAATTTCACAAAGGGACAAGAGGGATCTCATTTTTTTGTTCTTTCAAGAAATCAAAATCATTTGCGAGGCCTACTCTACATTGCAATTTAAAAATTCAAAGTGGAAAGAAGATAGAACAATAATAGCTGAGAAATTAGGGATTTTCAGGGCTAACAAGTCGAATGAGGTGAGGTTAATGGGATCGGGTGTAGCCGATTCTATACAAAAACTATGGAATCATCCACTAAGAATCAATTTTGAAAGAAGCATTTTGTCATTTTATGAAATGACACAATCAACTTAAGCCTGGACGGCTCTGGTTCTAAGATCTATTTACTTTTAGTCTGAAGCTGTCTCAAAAGGCGTAAATAATAGAGTGGACACCTGTCGATTGAAAGAAATTATTTTTTCAAGCACAAATAAAATAACATAAAGACCATTTATTTTGAATAAGAAATTATAAATATGGCAGCAGGTTGTGAGTACCGATATAGATACAATTCTTTGTATTATTATTTATATGTATAAAGCTGTAAAAGAATCAGTCCACCCAAAAAAAAAAAGTTGTCAAAAAGATCATGCATAACTTTCTTTCTTTCTTTTTTGGAAAAAATTGTTTACCTGCTATGATTGTGGACAGTTAGCAGCTAGCTTAAACTGGCTTGG